ATACAAATAAAGCTTGAAGGGCGTTGAAATACATCATATAAGGAGTCTTCTCTAATTTTCTTAAAATATTTGCATGAAGTGTTAACTTTTTATAAAAACAGTTATTTTTAATGATTAATAAAAATATCGATCATTCTAAGACACGTCACTAGTTCGAGGATCATTAAAAATAACTGTTTTTTATAAAAAGTTAAAACTTCATGCAAATATTTGAAGAAAATTAGAGAAGGCTCCTTATATGACGTACTTCAACGCCCTTCAAGCTATATTTGTATTTTTGTAACACCCTGTATAATTACATTTCTATATTTCGTAATAGAAGTAAAGCCTCGATGACACTGGGTTTACAAGCTACAAGCCAGCGAGTTCGCTAGTAGCTTGTTAACACGCCCCGTATCATCGAGTAGCAGATGGTAAAGAAGCCGATGACACGGGGCGAGCTTACAAGCTGCTAGCAAACTCGCTGGCTTGTAGCTTGTAAATTCGCCCCGTATCATCGAGGCTTAAAATCCCAGGTCTATTATGCGTTTTTTATTCCCAAACCAACAAAATTTTATTATTTTACATATACTATACGTACTACAGTTTGTATATCACTTTATTATTTTTATCACGTAATAAGACATTCCTTTCATTTAAAATGCTATGCTATTTAGCAAAAAATAATCCTTGTGTTTAACCCTTTCAATGGTCATCATAAAATATGCTGTTTTTTTTTCGAAATTTCACGAGTTTGAATCCCAGTTGTAGCAGGCGATTTTAAAAAAATCTGTGAATGCAGTTCTAATTAATATTAAAAATAAAACGATGTCTTCTTTCAGTAAAATATCCTATCTTCAATATTTAATATACTTTCCCTCTGTGTGAGGTAGCCGTGGGACGCCCTGTATAAGTATACTTATAAAGAAATACATATCAAACATCCATGACTGGAGTATTTATTTATTTTATTTATTTATTTATTTATTCAGAAAACCAACAGCGTAACAAAAAAATTTTTTTTTTACATACTTTCTAATACTAAGGCTAATAATAGGTTTTCTATGAAATTTACAATTGTACTAAGACGTGGGAAGACATGATCTATTGCTTATTAGCTAATACTAGTTTTATTGTGTATGATGGAGAACCAAGTACATAGTCCCTCATCACCAACTGCTCCCGGCGACCCGAGTCTTTGTTAATAGAATGAATGTAGTATAATTTTTGCCGTAATAGCATACCGAACGTATTAACTGAAATACTGCAAAACTCGCTGTTTAAATGTGTGTTTCGATATCCCGAAAAGTTCAAGTTCGTTAAATTTAGTATTATATGTACGTGCTATACGAATGAGGACATTGTTACTAGCATATCTAGTGGAGTATTTAGGTGTACACAGCAAGGGAGTATGGCGTGTGCGTCGCTTAGGAGTACAAAATCCGATACCCGCTACTAAATTCGCGCAGTCCAATTGCCCATTTAAGGTGTCGAACAGTAGGCACATGTCAAGCAATACCCGCCTCTCCTCTAAGCTCAAGAGGCCATGATGTTGACATCCACTATGATATGAATCAGGGGAAATACGTTGTCGATAGTTAAGATGTTTAATAAATTTTTTTTGGATTCTCTCTAGACGATCTTTGTGTATACTATATTGGGGTGACCAAATTTGACTAGCGTATTCTAATGTACTGCGAACATACAAATGCTCGTATTCATCACACAACATCTGCCCCCACCGGGATTCGAACCCGGGACCTCTCGAGTCGGCGACACCATGAAACCAGGCGTACAAACCACTCGGCCACGGAGGTCGTCAAATTTATGTGTATAGTCTTCACTTACACTACCACGACAGGACCGTTCAAATTATTTAAACTCACTTTGCATCAGTTGCCGTAGGTAAAGGGGGTTCGGTAGAAATATAATATATAATAACTCGTAAACAATGAGCTGGAAGCAGTTTATTTATGGTAGAAATAAAAAACTATTTGGGGTTCAATATAAGTTATTGTAAAACATTTATAATTCATTGTCATAAGATTGTTCTTTTTTTTACGTGATTTCTGCTGGACTGACCATAAGATATTTTTTTTGACAGCCTTGATGGAATTGAATTCAAACTAAATAAAAACCAAAAACGAACATTTTAAAATAAGTGGTGGCCAAGAAGGTCGAATATGGAGGAAATACACAAGGAAAACGGATACGGCTATGCCACACCGTTCCAACTTTACAAATAGGAGAACTTTTTGAGGATTATTATATTTTAATTTCTTAGAAAATTGATGACAAATCTAACGAAAATTTTACTAGAAAAAAATCTCCTCAGTCCAGGTTGCAGACGGGATTGGAAACCGACTCTATCGCTATACGGATCTCTCTTAAAACTTGGACCGCGTAGAAATTTTTCTCGTAAAATTTCTATTCAATTTTAGCTTTTTGATGCATATCGCAGAAGTTATTTAAAGTGATAGGCAATCACTTGGCGCTTAAATTATTCATATTGAAGTCTTAGTGAAATTTACTTTAACTGGCTCTGTGGTCTAACTCAATCTACAATTAACAAAAAGTCTACAATTACCTAAATCTACAATTTAACCGAACGAATTTTGTCATTGGAAATTTGTCTATCGTTCATTACTTTTTTTTAAGGTAAAGTGTAGTCAACTAAAGAATGTTTTCAGTGTGCGTCATAGTAGGATAATATACGTATGATAATGGCTCAAACGTTAGGGATGAACTCGATAAACAGCATGACCTCATTCGCAGTTTTGCATGACTCAGCGGAGTGAATGTACCCTTCTAACTGGAGCGACCGCATGCGAAAGTATTGCCCATCAGCCTATTAGACTCCAGTATTTTATAAATAGCAAGTAATTTTTTGATAAAAAAAAATATCTGCTTATTTCTCTCTCATACTCATAATAACCAGGTGGTAGTGAAAGATCAGTACCCCTAGCACGAACCAATATCGTATTCGAATCGTTTGCGAGTCCGAAATGTCATTGTCAAATGTGTACTGATTTTTAGTTCTCGTTACGTACTTTGTGCCGCTGCTGTTCAAGTTTCCATACAAAATTTGAAATTGTCATTTCGGTTTGCAAACTATTCGAATTCGATAATGGTTCGTGCTAGGGGTACAGTATTGACAAATTGAGTGCATAGAAGTCCACAATGTTCGCATAAATATTCAATAATTATGCTTCATATAAAATTGTCGTCAGAACGAGTTATGTCTGACTTTACAATACATATATTTGTTTTCAATCAACAAACATAATCCACCTTATTCCAAAACACGGACTAAAGTTGGTCTTGGTTTAAACTTAATGCTGTCTTTCTAGCAAACATAAGTGACAGTATCGGTTTTAGACTGGGTTTAACTTTAGTCGACATTTTGTAATAGTGATGGGATTCGAGTTGCTTTTCACTCGTGTGACTCGAGCAGTTTTTATATTACTCGCACTCGGTTAAAATTTTTGACAACTCGAGTTTCGAGTGACTCGATTTGACTCGTACCACTCGAGTGGTTTATACTCTGAGAAATTCAAGTTGTGACAAGTTTACCCGCTGTAGGTTCTCTTTGAAATTAAGTAGAAATATGTTTGTGTGAGTTGTTACTGTCATAAATAATTAATTTATGACTGGGTGTTATTAGTTACTGGTGAAAATGAGTAAAAGTGTAAAAAAAACAATTGTGTGGTAATTTTTTGACAAAAATTTAGAACATAAACCGTTATTTGTAAGTTTTGCAAAAAAAGTTACAATTTTGGTAATACAACTAACTTGATTACTCACATGAAAAACAAACATCCAGTTTAGTACAAGGATAGGAGTGGTGAATGTAGTTCGTCACAAGCATGTTCTTCGAGTGCAGAAAATTCAATTGTGTTTGCGTTCGAAAATTTTGGTCACTCGAGTTTTATATTCAGAGTGACTTGAGTCAATAAAAATCACTCGAGTTTAATCTTCACTCGAGTGGCATTCGAGTGATAAAGTTACCAGTACCGAGTGACTCGAGTGAAAAAAAATCACTCGAGTCCCATCACTATTTTGTAATAAGGCGGAATAGGTTTACCTAAATTAAATATTGCTTTTGGAACTGTATGTTGCTTTACTTATTATGTAATGTATGAAACTCAATTTTGCTATAGAGCTTTTTCTAGGTTATGGCTGTGTAGTTTTAATTTTTGTATATTTTGTCCAATTTTTGTTTAGTATACTAGCTCTGCCTCACTACAAAACGTTGACTAAAGTTAAACCTGGTTTAAAACTAATGTTATCACTTTTATTTGCTTAAAACAAGACAGAGACAGCATTATACTTTACTAACAAAGTTTTTTAAGGCACATTGTTACTATAATTTTTGACGACCTCCGTGGCCGAGTGGTTTGTACGCCAGGTTTCATGGTGTCTCCGACTCGAGAGGTCCCGGGTTCGAATCACGGTGGGGGCAGTTGTGTGTGATGAATACGATCATTTGTACTCCAGTCATGGATGTTTAATATGTATTTCTATATAAATATACTTATATATGTACTGTATATGTATTCTATCCGTTACCCTAGTATCCCATAACACAAGCCTTACAGTGCTTACTTTGGGGCTAGGCTAATTGGTGTGAGTGTCGGAAATATTTATTTATTTATTTATACTTTACTAACATAGTTTTTTAAGGCACATTGCTACTAAAATTCTATGGACTGTATTACATTGTCTGAGAATAAATTATTATTATTATATTATTAAATTTAAACCATGACTAACTTTAGTCCACGTTTTGGAATAAGACAGGCTGTGTTTAGTTTGAGAGTTGAATCAGAGTTATTCCTATGAAATTCGGTTTAGTAGACCTTAACTCTATTCCCTAGCTAGCTTATCACCCTACGTCACCAGCTTAATCATATTCCTCGTATCTTTTGTATCATTAGACTGCAAGGTAAACCATACTTTCCTGAAAAATCTGTGCATCCTATTTCTGTTATAAATTGAGAAATTTATCGTATATTCTCTAGGATCGAATCGTCTTGTGGCGCTCTAGGGCTCCGCGTAGGAGACCGGGTGCTGGAAATAAACGGTGCTTCAGCGAAGGGGCTCAGCGCTGCAGACGTCGACCGGCTGTTGGCGAGGCCCTCGCCAATCATACAGGTGAGATGAAGATCACAGCATGTGGTGACATCGTCATGAGACTATTAATGTCCCCACTGCTGGGGCACACGCCTTCTCTTGGGATGGATATGGATTCGGCCATGAAAGTGCTGGTTGGTGAGTACTAACTGTAGGGTATACACATTGATAGTAATAATAATAATTTTCTTTATTTCTTCTCTCACATAACAATACATCATTAACTTAACCTTAATACTTAAATCTAGTTATGTGAGAGACTGGCGTCTGTACTAAGAGACCTGTATTAAAGATTACCAGTCTCTCCACCTCCGAACCGTCTATAAGGAACTCAAATACATATTAGTTCCTAAGTGAAATACATAAACATAAATATGAGAAAAAAATAAAACAAAAAGAAGGTAGTGTGTTTGTGTGGGTGTATGTGATTGTGTGAGTGTTTGTGTGCGTGTATGTATTGTGTTGTTTATTATAGTGATTAATAGGGATGATGACGGGGTACAGTAAACGAAATTCTATTTAGTCCGTCAGTTAGATGATCAAAAAATAATGGACACGTATTTTTGCTTTGGGCAATCAACCCAAAAATGACAGAATTATAGCGCGTCAAAGTTTGGGAGTAGGTGCTCGTGACGTCACTTTTGAGTGAATTTTCACTTATAAGTGTACTCAAACGTGACGTCATGTGACTTTTCAAATCAATATATCTCTGCAATGTTTATATTATGTGAAAAAAGAAATAAAAACGTGTCCAATACTTTTTGACAATCTACCTCATAAACGAAGAAAAAAAAAATAGTCATCATCCCTATTGTGTTTATAAGACTTTGTAGTGTTTATATGATGTTAAGTACATTTCACGAGATGACAGCCAAGAGTTTCTCTGTTGTAAAGTAATCCAGGGATTTAAGCCAATCGGTAGTAACTCTCTTGCAATCATACTTAGATAGCGGATAGATGTTAGAGTGATTATTAATTTCGTTATACAAAGAACAAGAAGCCTATATAACCGAAGAAACTTCTTGAAAAGGCAGTTGTCCACTGATTGTTACGATGACAAACTTTATGTTTGTGTCGTTTATTTGCATTGAGATTTGGGTCAAACGTTGCTGCAGAGTGTTGTTTTAGCACTGTATTAAGAATAAAAAGCTGACGAACGATATATATGTCAATAAATAATATATAGTGATACTATATGTCGATAAATTCGGTAAGCTTCCAACCGGCGGTTCATTACTCAGCACGAATGACTGCATATGCAGCCGAGACCGACGACTTGACGTGCCTTTCTAAGCACGCAGTAGATGGAGAAAACAAATTTTTGGTCACCCATCCTAACACTGGGCATTGTCAAATTTACTAAACTCCCACGGATGTAGTTCGAACGCGCAAACCAGTTGCGCTATCGAGCACACATACTTACATAAAGTATGTGTGCTCGATTTACTTTAAAAGATTGATCTGAGGCGACCATAAGACGCTCATGCAGCCATCAGTTATGAATGATAAAATACCATCTGTCAATATCTGTGACTAAAAAAGTCATCAGTCAATTTATAAGAAGGCAGGCTATCCATCAGTCATAACCTTGACTGCCAGCATACTGACAGCAAAACCTACCGTCTAATGGCCGCCTTATATTTTGCCTTAATGCTTGATTCTTGTATTGCAGAGTGTTATTAGAAACTTATCCATGATATTCTACAAGATTGATAAATACACTGGTATAAATAAATACTATATGTACTAGAATAATTATATGTTGTTATAAGTAATAGTAACTGGTTGTCGGCTCATCAACTTCATTTTTAATTCTTTTGAAGTGAAAACTTCTTTAGCGGCGTTGTACACTTTTTTTGTATGGGTAAAAAATGTAAAACTCGCGTCAGGTTAAACACGTGGGCTGATCGCATCATGACACACAATAAAATTGGAAAGGTTGTTGACTTTCAATATATTGGATGAAACATAGTAATATTTTATTTTACCGTATTATAATAATAAGTCTCTATCTAGGACGTCCACGTGGCAGCTTTTTTTGCGAAGAAAATGCATTTTTTTACAATAGATGTCGTTAGGTGCGCTTAAATGTGACTCATGTAAGTTGATTTCTTTACAATAGATGTCGCTAAGTGCGCTTAAACGTGATTCATGTAAGTTGTTTTTTCTTAGAGATAAACTTTTTTAATTTAATATAAATTGTCATGTTTGTGTACGATAGCGCAATAAATAAATATTGTATTCTACCACATACATGACTTTCTGACTTTTATACAGATAATTAAAGCAATTCGTGCAAAATTATTCCCTAACCATTCCAAAATATCAAAAATGCACAACGTTTTTACTTCTGCCGGCACTCCCGGAGTGCAACCCGTCGTTTTTTTTAAGTGATCAGTGAATATATATGAGTGATGCATCCTATGCCTTGTGCACCGCCTACACTCGTAACACTATTTTTTGAGACTCAATAGTTTAATAAAATTTACATGTTTTCACAGTTAACCATAGAGCACAGCTCAGATACAACAAACAACAACAACAACATAGACAAACCTCCCGCACCCTCTGATATAGAAGAGAAGCCAAAACATGACACTAAGTCTGTGTCACCGGTAGAACGGAAGATACAGGCAGAAGACAGGAAGGTGGAACAGGATATAGGAGAGGATGTAGGGGTAGGGGGAGGGAAGAAAGAGAGATTGTTCAAAAGGAGAGGGGAGGAGGGGGGCAAAGCGAGGTGTTTGAAGAGAAGACAAGCACCTGCTTCTCCTCTACTAGGAGATAAGGAGAGAAGCAGCAGTATGTCCAAGTTGCTGGATGTGTAAGTATTGCTTTTAGATTTTACGACGTAAAAAAGTAAAAAAAAAAAAATATTTCTATAGTTTAATGTCTTACTTAGTTTTATTGTGGGGAAACGCCGCCGACATTCAAAATATTTTTGTGCTGCAGAAGAGAGCTATCAGATAATAATAATATAAATAAATATTTCCAACACCCACACCAATTAGCCTAGCCCCAAAGTAAGCACTGTAAGGCTTGTGTTATGGGATGCTAGGGTAACGGATAGAATACATGTTCTGTACATATATAAGTATATTTATATAGAAATACATATCAAACATCCATGACTGGAGTACAAATGCTCGTATTCATCACACAAACATCTGCCCCCACCGGGATTCGAACCCGGGACCTCACGAGTCGGCGACACCATGAAACCCGGCGTACAAAGCACTCGACCACGGAGGTCGTCAATGGACGTCGTCAAGATCAATTTATAATCTTAAAGTTAAAGAATCTTTAAAGATAAGTTTAAAGAAATTGGCAAAATGACGGTGGCATCACAATGTATATACGAAAATTTATTACTTGTAAGAAAAAATATTAACTTGTTCCTTAAAACATATCCATATTCATGGATGCTTTTCAGAACAAGTATCTTAGTGGCGTTATAATAAAACAGTAGCTGTGTCGATTCTGGCACGATTCGATTCGCCTAAAATTGACAACAGTATATCCTTGTCATACTCTATACAGAATGAAAAGGAGAGACTGATCCTAAATTTACTTTTTAAGTTAAGAGAATCATGCCAGAATCGGCACCACTAAATCACTAAATGGCAATCTCCCTATTCCATCCATAGGGAAGGCCTGTGCCCCAGCAGTGGGGACATTAATAGGCTGATGATGATGATGATGAAATCACTAAATAGTTCGGTGATTACTTCCATTTGACAAAAATAGTTAGCGAATAGGCCTACAGAGCATACAATAGATCATTTAATGGCTTACAACAACATAATGAAAGTGTTTCATTTGACTCACGATGTTTGTTTTCCTCCGAAAACAGATTCACGTCAGAGCGGTAGCTTAATGATCACACGGACTGCTACGAATTATTAAAAAAATGGGTGCGTGTACTTATGTAGGCGCGTGAGAAGTTATCCTTCTTTGGCATCGTTTAAAATTAGTTTTTAATTGCTTGCAAATAATTAATTACAATAAATTAATAAAAAGTCTGGAAAAGGACACAGTCAATAAAGTTCAGTTTTAATTTGAAAAAATAAATAAATAATCAAAATATTCAATTAAAATCGCTACTGAATATAATTTATTAGAACATATGTGATTTGCACTTGTATGAAACTCAAACACGTATTCCGAATATACAAAGTAGAAACATGTGGATAAATATTATAAATATGAATACCTATAACTGTTACATTATTACAAAAAATAAAGATGTGGTTTTTGGTTCTACTACACCAATGGTCAAGAGATGGCGCTGTAGTCTCCTGAATCGCGCTTTGGTTCCGTTGTTCCAGATTAATAAATACTTTTGATAGGCCTTCACAATGCAGTCGTTAGCACCCACTAAATAGAGATTCTATTTCTATTTTGTTGGTAGATTTTCTTAATGTGCGGTAAACACAAAAGTAACGCATGAAGTTGGTCGCTAAAGCGACTAACTTCATGCTGTTAAAATTTTGTGTTACAGTGATGAGCGCGCATCTTAAAATTTCACTCTCATCATTTTTTCATAACGCGCCTAAAGAAGTATAACTTCAAAAACATTCCCTGCGCTAGTATGTGAACTCCTTTAGCTTGCCTTTCGAACTTTTGATTAGTACTAATTTTGATTGCAATTTCCTATCCTTCAGCGAAGGATCGATGCGATTTCACATGTGCTAACATCTGTTTTTGCAGCTATAACAAGTTTTCCGAAATACGGAAGATTTGACGTTCATTTTTGAAGTTATACTTCTTTAGGCGCGTTATGAAAAAATGATGAGAGTGAAATTTTTAGATGCGCGCGCATCACTGTAACACAAAAGTAACAGCATGAAGTTGGCCGCGGGCGCGTTATGAAAAAGTCATGTGAGTGAAATTTCGAGATGCGCACGCATCACTGTAACACAATAGTAACACCATGAAGTTGGGCGCGGGCGCGTTATGAATGTTAGTGTCTAATAATTCCATTATTAGACATCTGTTCGAAAGGTACTTTGAACGATCCACGGAGCCCCATAAGATGATCGCGTTGTCAAAAACAATGTTGGCACGCTCGTCGCCTCTGATCACTGTTTTCATATTTATAATATTTATCCACATGTTTCTAGTTTCTATATAGACACAACGTGTTTTAGTTACTTACAAGTGCTAATTACATATGGACTAATAACTTAAATTCAGTAGTGATTTTAATTGAATATTTTGAATATTTATTTAATTTTTCAAATTAAAACTGAACTTAATTGACTGTGTTAACTATCATTTTCCAGTCCTTTTATTATTTTATTGTAATTATTTGCATTCAATTAAAAAATATTTTTAATGATGCTAAAGAAGTATAACTTCTCACGCGCGTACATAAGTTACACGCATCCATTTTTTTTATAGCCAGGTAGGCAAATGTCTCTACCCCGCCTGATGTTAAGTTGGTGATAAAGTCCAAACGCGAAGATAGCTGGTACAGCAGTTATATACTGCCACACCAACCATCCTTACCTTGCCGGCCTACAAAAATGCCACGCCTCTCTTAAAAGACCCAAGATTGTAGGAAGGAGGGAAAAGAATTCCACTTACGAATAGCATGACAAAGAAAGTCACCAAATTTCTTTTTTTTTTTCAAAATTTTCATAATACATATCAAGCCTTGACTATAGGGGCTTAACCTCAGTAACTGCATGATAACCGCGTTCACTGAGTTTCCCAGCACCACCAATTGCGTAGCAATAAGAGCTATATTCCTTGTGTAACCGTCATCATGTTGACAAAAGTACATCGGCAGATTTCAAACGTGATCCGTGCGGCCCGGAAGCGATAACCTTAATTATTTATTTGTTTACTTATTAACATGTCAGGTCAAAAGTTATTCAACAAACGGAAAATTAAATGTACTTAATTGCGGCGACATTATCATTGAATTACCTTTATTAATTAATTGCTCATAAAATACATAATTATTAGTTGTTTTGTATGTCAATAATAATATTGTTATTTATCAGTAACTAATTGGAATTTTACTATAAATAATAATAAATAATATAATAATAATAATTTATTCCCAAATTTTTTATACAATATGGTTTTACAAATACAGGCACAGGATATTTTAAAACTAAGGATCTGTGGGTACTTAAAATAGGAAAACCCTGTGACTTAAGTACCCACTCTCTTCCAGTGACACAATAAAGTAAATTTACAAGATACCACATTGATTAGAAAATATGATTTTAAATGAAAAACGAAAATTTAAGTTACATTAACAAACAAAAAAAAAACTTTTTAGTTTTATTTTGTAAATAATTTTCATGCAAGACGAGTAAGGAATCAAGTCATGTGTAGTAACATCTTCTCAGTTTCTTCATAAGTCAGTGCAAGAAGAAATTGAGTGAGTATGCGTTTTAGATTACAATAATTTAGTGAATATATATTCAACCTCCGGTTTACATTATTATAAATAAAAGGACCTAGAAAAAGTAGAAATCGTTTGCTAAAAGATTTATTAAATAGTTTACTCTTGAAAATCAATTTGTTGCGACGAACCTCTCCTTTATAAGGATCTAAAGGTAGTTTGGAATGTTGGTGTATTAATGTATATAAGATGAATAATTTACGTACTGATAAAACTTCGCAGAATGAGTATAAGGCATCGGTAGGAAACAGAAACGGCTTGAATGTAGCTACTTTTAGAACTGCGCGTTGGGCACGCTCCAGTGGGAGTATAGTTGTCTTAGGAACGGTCGGTTTTCTTTCATTTCCTAGTTGCTTTATTTAAAGTAAAATTGTATTATACTAGCTTCCACCCGCAACTTCGTGTGCGTTATAAAGTTAGTTTTTTGCGAATTCCACAGGAACTTAAAGCTACCTTTATTATAAAATAAATAAAAGTCTCGAAGGTAGCTCGACAAAATTAAATAAAAAATCAGTATTCTGACGATGCAGACCTGAAAAGGCTGCGAAACGTCAATAAATAAATAAAGTTCGTGCATTAACCCATTAAAAACTAGTTTTATTTCTCATGTTATGTTTATTTTACGTTAAAAAGGTGTCTAACAAGCTTAACGACCTCCGTGGCCGAGTGGTTTGTACGCCGGGTTTCATGGCTGTCGCCGACTCGAGAAGTCCCGGGTTCGAATCCCGGTGGGGGCAGATGTTTGTGTGATGTATACGAGCATTTGTACTCCAGTCATGGATGTTGAATATGTATTTATATAAATATACTTATATATGTATAGTATATGTATTCTATCCGTTACCCTAGCATCCCATAACACAAGCCTTATAGTGCTTACTTTGGGGCTAGGCTAGTTGGTGTGAGTGTCGGAAATATTTATTTATTTATTTATTATGGCCCGCTTGATGGAAGCGACCACAATAGCCTATAGACGCTTCATCACCAGCCTAGTCCCCACTGCTGCGGCACAGGCCTTCCTTATCGATGGAATAGGGATATTAGGCCATGACCCACCACGTGGGCGCAGTGCGGATTGGTGGGTGCTAACGACTGCAGATGCAGTCGTGACCAGCCGTTTAACGTGCCTTCCGAAGCACGGAGGAGCTCAAGATAATAAATATTTGGTCACCCATCCAATGACCGACCACTGCGAAAGTTGCTTAACTTCAACGATCGCAGCCGAACGCGCTAACCACTTGCGCCATCGAGCTCTTACGCCTCTCTTAAAACTAAGCAGTACCTAAGCGGAACTTTTGAAATTCTGGAAAATCAATGACGAACAGCGAACCTCCATAATTTTATGTTTTTATTAATTTTTAAGCATTCAATTGCTAGATGTTTAAATCTAAAGAAAAGTTTACTAGAAAAAAATCCACGCGGACCAGGCAGCGGACGGGACTCGAACCCGCACCCTTCGCAATCCGGGCGAATGCACTGACCATTATGCTACCACGGCCCTATTGACCGCGTCGAAATTATCCTAGCCTTAAGCTGCAAGGCAGCGCCATCTCTTCGCATTGTAGGTAACCCACAATGTCAAATGAATTTTTTTTTCTAGTAAACTTTTCTCCATAATTTTTCCAATTTCGTAATGGAAAGGCAAATGAAACTATTATTATGACTACTACTATTAGCGACCTCCGTGGCCGAGTGGTTTGTACGCCGGGTTTCATGGTGTCGCCGACTTGAGGTCCCGGGTTCAAATCCCGGTGGGAGCAGAAGTTTGTGTGATGAATACGAGCATTTGTACTCCAGTCATGGATGTTTAATATGTATTTCTATATAAATATAATTGTATATGTATTCTATTCGTTGCCCTAGTATCTCATAACACAAGCCTTACTTTGGGGCTAAGGCTAATTGAGGAGCTCGATGGCGCAGGTGGCTAGCGCGTTCGGCTGCGATCGTTGAAGTTAAGCAACTTTCGCAGTGGTCGGTCATTGGATGGGTGACCAAAAATTTACTATCTCGAGCTCCTTCGTGCTTCGGAAGGCACGTTAAGCCGTTGGTCCCGGCTGCATTTGCAGTCGTTAGCACCCACCAATCCGCACTGGGCCCGCGTGGTGGGTCATGGCCCAATCTCCCTATTCCATCCATAGAGAAGGCTTGTGCCCCAGCAGTGGGGATATTAATAGGCTGATGATGATGAAGGCTAATTTGAGTTGGATTTTTCTGAAGTGAAACTTCTTTACGCATGCTTGACTTGTGGGGTAAACTGGCAAATGCGTTACGCGTTACGCAAAGTGTGTTCGGGCGAGGCGAACGGGAGTTGAGTGGGGGATATAAGCAAGAGGGAGAAGTGCGCGCGCACATTTTCTTTTTCTCTTTCTCTTAAAGATAATAAATGAAATATGTACATGTACATAAGACGGAAAGACCCGCTCTGTCACCCATCTCTTATCTATTAGACAAGTCCGTCTGTCTGTGGTGCTGTTTCAGCGGCCAAACCGTAAGAGATAGATAAAGAGAATATTTAAGTTATAAGTTAAGAATAGTCTGATAAGACTACAAACCGGATTTGAGTAACGTAGCACTTCCGGTTTTCGAGAAATCAGGTTTTGGTGAACATTTGGTTCACTGGTTTGCTAGTAATGCCATAATCGCTTGCGGTAGCGGCGTAGTAAAAATTCATTCATAGACATGTAATTATCGCTGTCTTACTTTTTCGTATAGCGCTGTCGCGATCACGATGCGGATGACAAATTGCAACTAAAACAAATGCAATTCAATTCATTATTCAATCAATGAAATGCTCTCTGTCTTACTTTTGTGCGGCGGCCCGGATTGGCGCGTCCGACGCGAAGGCGGGGCGTAGTAAAAACTACTGAAGAAAACCGTTCAAAGCATTTTGTTCGCCAAGTGACAGAGCGCAAAATTCCGCGATAGTACATACATGTATATATTGTATACACATAGCTAAAGAAGTTTCATTTCAGTCGTGCGGTCACACTCGTATCTTTTTAAATTCATCAACATCAGCCTATGAATGTCCCTACTGCTGGGGCACAGGCCTTCCCAATGGATGGAATAGGGAGATTGGGCCATGACCCACCACGCGGGCCCAGTGTGGATTGGTGGGTGCTAACGACTGCAGATGCAGCCGGGACCAACGGCTTACCTTGCCTTCCGAAGCACGGAGGAACTCGAGATAGTAAATTTTTGGTCACCCATCCAATGACTGACCATTGCGAAAGTTGCTTAACTGCAACGATCGCAGCCGAACGCACTAACCACTTGCGCCATCGAGCTCCACAATCACTGGACTTAGCTTGTTAAATAAATTATTATTTATTATTATTTTATACGTAGCGTGGAAGGCGGTATAAGCAGCGAGCGAGGCGGCGTGGCGAGCGGTCTGAGCCGCGCGCGATCCTTCAGGGCTCATCCCCAGCCCCCGCACACTGTGTTCCGGGCCGCTGACTTACTGCAGGTATACATATACATATATATATACTGAGCCGCGCGCGATCCTTCAGGGCTCATCCCCAGCCCCCGCACACTGTGTTCCGGGCCGCTGACTTACTGCAGGTATACATATACATATATATATACTGAGCCGCGCGCGATCCTTCAGGGCTCATCCCCAGCCCCCGCACACTGTGTTCCGGGCCGCTGACTTACTGCAGGTATACATATACATATATATATACTGAGCCGCGCGCGATCCTTCAGGGCTCATCCCCAGCCCCCGCACACTGTGTTCCGGGCCGCTGACTTACTGCAGGTATACATATACATATATATATACTGAGCCGCGCGCGATCCTTCAGGGCTCATCCCCAGCCCCCGCACACTGTGTTCCGGGCCGCTGACTTACTGCAGGTATACATATACATATATATATACTGAGCCGCGCGCGATCCTTCAGGGCTCATCCCCAGCCCCCGCACACTGTGTTCCGGGCCGCTGACTTACTGCAGGTATACATATACATATATATATACTGAGCCGCGCGCGATCCTTCAGGGCTCATCCCCAGCCCCCGCACACTGTGTTCCGGGCCGCTGACTTACTGCAGGTATACATATACATATATATATACTGAGCCGCGCGCGATCCTTCAGGGCTCATCCCCAGCCCCCGCACACTGTGTTCCGGGCCGCTGACTTACTGCAGGTATACATATACATATATATATACTGAGCCGCGCGCGATCCTTCAGGGCTCATCCCCAGCCCCCGCACACTGTGTTCCGGGCCGCTGACTTACTGCAGGTATACATATATGTATATATATATACATATATGTGTGTATATATATATATATAAACTATCTATAAACTATATTTCTGAGATAAAAACTATCCCATGTCCCTCAAAGACTTTTGGGTCTACCTCTATACCGAATTTCAGCTAAATGGGTTCAGCTGTTTAAGCGTGTAGAGATAACAGACAGAGAAACACACTTTCGCATTTATATTATTAGTATGAACTATATTTTATGTATTTCTACTGTTACCCTAGTATCCGATAAAATAAGTATTACATGGTGCCGATTCTGGCATAATTCTGTAAAGAAAATTTAACTAGAAAAAAATCCGCGGCAGCAGACGGGCTTCGAACTCGCACCCTTCGCTATCCGAGCGAATGCACTGACCATTATGCTACCACGGCCCTGATGGCCGTGTCGAAATTTCTCTAGCATTTCTTAGGCTGCAAGGTAGAGCAAGGACGGTGCAAGGTTTGAGTCCCGTCTGCTCCCTCGACCGAGTGAATTTTGTTTCTAGTAAAATTTTCATTAGATTTGTCTTCCAGTAGTTAAATGCTTAAAAACAATTAACTATGATTCTCTAAACTTAACACTAAATTTAACATCATCTCTCCTTTTCGTTCTATATAGGGAATGACAAGGATACGCTGTAGTCAAATTTAAATTTAGGTTTAGAGAATCTTACCAGCGTCGACACTAGTGCTTACTTTGGGACTAAGCTAATTGGTGTGTGTTAGAAATATTTATTTATTCATATGTATATGTTTCGTTAGGGTGAACTTTTGGGTGCTGGTTTCTTCGGCCAAGTGTTCAAGGTGACCCACCGTGAAACCAACGAGGTGATGGTCGTCAAGCAATTGTACAGGGTCGACGAAGAGGCGCAGAAGAACTTCCTCAAGGAGGTGAGTGGGATAGAGATGTATATGTCGTGGCCATATCGTAGATTTGCTCACTTCATGAAATGCTCGAAAATTTCATGAAATGGTCACATTTCATGATGTGGCCAACTTAATTTGACCATATCATTAAATCGTCAACATTTAACGATTTGGTCATCCACATTTGGCCGGATCGTATAATTAGGGTGTCCATAAAATATTTATTAAAAATTCAGAATATCTAAGAACTTGTTTATTGTTATTTAAGTCCGAATGACACAAACAAATTCAATCAAAATTTTGTAACAAAAAAAACAAATTAAAGATTTTTTTCCTAAATTAAACATCAAACATGTCAAGAACTTACACATTTATATTGTGGTGATGGGGTGTGGGTGACTCTCGGGAGAGATCACGACGAGCGTTCAGTGTGAAAATCAACCTTTAATTAACTTAACCTACATCTTATATACTATTTACAATACGTATACGACGTGCTTAGGGCTTAGAGACCTAATCGTATCGAGGATGATTATCATCACGTAGAACACGTGATTTACACTTCACCACACCTCCCCTGAAACGTTAGGCGTCCCTCCCCTGAAAAGGAAGACCCTAAACACTTTTCTTCTACGTTCTAACATATGTAACTCGATTTATTAACATATTATACATAACAACATGTTAAAACCTTTTTAAGAGATTTACTAATCTCATATATATGTAACTTAAATTATTTCATTTACTTTATTAAAAACTTATCTTAAAATTTATACAAACAATTATTATCAATATAAATCCTTACTATAATTACTAAACAATTATTTACGTTTTCCTTACTATAATCACTAAACAATTATTTTTAACAAAAAAAAACATTACATATTAGAATTTTACATTTTCATTAATCTATTCCAACATCACGTTGGTTGTATGCCTTCCTAAATAGCATGTCTTGAAAACAATTATTTCTTTTCTTAATAAAATCTTTCTTATTACACTTATTTGTATAATAAACATTAAATAAAATATTGTTATTTTTCGAGCTTTCGGGTTTACACCTATGATATATATTAAAAACCCCTTTTATTATATTATTATTCATTTTATCCTTTCCATGTGTAATATCGCTTATTACAATTAATATGGGTAATACAACATTATATTTCTCCCTTAAGTTATTAAAACTTTTAACCCATTTTTCATTAATTATCAAACCTTTTATTTGTAAATGCTTACAAAGCAATTCAACATCTTTCGCTAGTCTTTTCTCTTCTAGGAATGACACAGACTTTATATGTATTTCGCATTTTGAAGGTGCATAAACACATAAATTATATTTAGAATGCACATACTTCTTATTGTCTATTTTGTCATTAAAATACTCTTTAACAATTACGTTTACATAAGAACTAGCTTTTACATAATCTGCTTTAATTGCAGGGAACTCTTTCTTAGAGTTATCATTAGACATTGTGATCTCGTCGATTGCGAACATATTTTCCTTTCGTATTTTATAAGAAGCTTTTCGCTTTTCCTTACATTGGTTAGACTTAATTAAGTTACCATTGCTTTTACTTAGCAAATTATTTTTACAACATAGATCTTTTTCTAAAAAAAATTCGTCTAACTTTAAATCATAACACTCGTCATTAAAACTATTTATAGAATTCATTACCTCTGTATTACAAGTTTCTATATAAGAGCACACCTCATCGATTTGAGCACGATTTTGCTTATCTAGCGCTTTGCGCGAATGAACTTGACCGTCGCGCGGAATGCGAGATTCCAACGTCTTGCAAACATTCCTTTTACTTGCTACGCTATAATTTTTAAAATAATAATTTCTTACTCTCGGTCTGTAACTTAACCTTGACTTATAGTAATTACATTGCTGAATCATATTTTCCTCTCTATTCGATGATGTAATATATTCCTCGAGTGCTATTTGAATAGCATCTTTTAATAACGTGGGCTGCCTACACTTTAAAATTAAATTTATTCGACTACTATTTAAACCTTCAGCAAAACATCTTATTGCAAAAGCTTCATTTAACGGAAGCAAAATTTTAATCTTTTCCTGATCATTTTCCGATTGAGCAATAGTTAATTCAGATAACAGTTTATTGATCTCTAAACCAAATTGTTCTATAGACCTACTTCCTTGTTTGCACTTAAATAATTTAAATTGAATCGATGATGGACACTTTTTCGGTAAAAAATAATGTTTTATGTCACTAATTAAATGATTAATACTATCATAAGAAGATTCTAAATAAATTTTTGCTGTTTCTGAGAGTCTAGTTTTTAAAACAAAATTAATTAAAGTATTTTGCGAGTTTTTTTTTTTTTTTTTTTTTAATCTTTATTGTACAATAATAATTAGGGGTTTTGTCCGTAGATATGTCACCCCTATAATTATTTTGCGAGTTATTATCAATAACGCTACTGTAAAATTCTATATTATTAATTAAACATTGTGTGTTATGCTCTTCTCCCGTCATTCTAGGTAAGAAGGCTAGTGCGGTCTCTAAATCAAAACTTGCCATTTTTACAATGAAAACCTTAAAACTTTAAATTGCGAAAAATCCTTAATAAGTAATAAATGAAAAGTCTACCGGGACAAAAGTAATATAAAAAATTGAGATGAATTAACTGTTAAGCTGCATTTTAAGATCTTAATGCGTTATATAATTTATTTTAACAAAACAAAAAATAATGTCGGGTAATATTTACTTATTGTTCTTAATGCTAAAACTGACGACATTACAACTTACTTGACATTAATTGTAGCTTAATGATTTCCTTCATAATAACGTAGTCATTTTCATGCCCTTTTGCAGTATTGGAATATATCTTCTTCTTCAATGTATCTTCATATACGTGAAACCGAGGAACCGAGTGCGTAGGTAATTTGTTTGCAGTTTTTCGTGATTCAATAATCATCTTCAATTTCTTCAAGCGAACCCTTCTGGGTCTTTGCGCTCAGAAGTATGCTGCCATGGTCGATTAAAATTTCCAAAAAACTCACATAACGGACCCCGTCCGATGCAGCACGATTCTACGTCACGGTCGCCATGTGGTGATGGGGTGTGGGTGACTCTCGGGAGAAATCACGACGAACGTTCACTGTGAAAATCAACCTTTAATTAACTTAACCTACATCTTATATACTATTTACAATACGTATACGACGTGCTTAGGGCTTAGAGACCTAATCGTATCGAGGATGATTATCATCACGTAGAAGACGTGATTTACACTTCACCACAATATTTAGAAAACTATCAAATTTTTAGAAATAATAAGGTATTTTGGTACATATACAACAGTGGGGGAGCTCAAGTGGGGATTTCGGATTTCTTCGACCGCGGCGCGGAGTTTGTGAAGTACTCCCACCATAACTGAGCCCTTTATGTTTAGCAAAGGAAAATGAAAAAACGAGTGTGCTTATGACCACACGACTGAAGTGAAACTTCTTTAGCTCCATCTGTATCGAGCCCTTACCGCCAAATTATCGTAAGCGACACTCGCCAAATTGTCGAAATGCGTTTTTTGTGGAAACTAATATTTTAAACCGTAACGGACCCATCTCTGTTGATATTTCCCTCTATTCTTCCCTCTATTATATTATAACGGTGTTCTTTTGGAGGGAAATATCAACAGAGATGGGTCCGTAACGGTTTAAAATATTAGTTTCCACAAAAAACGCATTTCGACAAAAGTGTCGCTTACGATAATTTGGCGAGTGTCGCTTACGATAATTTGGCGGTAAGGGCTCGATATGTATGTACATATACCTATTTCATTTACTAGCTATAAAAGAAAGAGAGAAAGAAAATGTGTGCACGCACTGCTTTCTCTTGCTTATATCCCCCACTCAACTCCCGTTCGCCTCGCCCGAACACACTTTTCGTAACGCGTAACGCATTCGCCTGCTTACCCTCCAAGTTAAGCATGCCTAAAGAAGTTTCACTTCAAAAAATTCAACAAACAGCCATGAAGTTTGGCCGCGGCCAAATCGCCAGTCTTTTGAATAAGAACTACTGGAGGGTTCGCAGAATATTCCTCTCAATGTCTGACGCGCTAGAATATTTTTCCCCTTTCGTATGCCCTAACTAAAACCGGCAGATTAATATTTGTTTCGGTCATCTTTACTTCGGTCGATTTTGCTTCGGAAGGCACGTTAAGCCGTTGGTCCCGGCTGCATCTGCAGTCGTTAGCACCCGCCAATCCGCACTGGGGCGGCGTGTTGGGTCATGGCCCAATCTCCCTATTGCATCCATAGGGAAGGCCTGTGCCCCAGCAGTGAGGACATTAATGATGATGATGATGATTTAATTTGAAAGGTGGCCGTACTCCGCTCTTTGAATCACCCCAATGTGCTTCGCTTCATCGGCGTGCTGTACAAAGACAAGCGGCTGCATCTCGTCACTGAATACGTGGCCGGCGGTACTTTACACCAACTGTTGCAGGTTAGTCCTTATATACTTAGTAATAAAGATCATTATAACACAATAGCCCTGTCAATTTAGACATAAAAATAGGGATCAAATAACAAAAACCCCGACAGAGCCAAATATTGGTGGAGACCTTTGTTTTACCCTTATGTAAAATTAAATTATAAATTACGCCGAAAAATTACCGTGTATGTCAATTTTTTTTTGTGCATTTAGGCCAATTTGAGCAATCTCCTTTCATTCGACATATTTAATTCCGTATTTTTGAATCGCTCGAGTGCAATGAATGGGTGAGACCACTCGCTGCATGGCGAATGGTGGAGGCGAATGATAGAATAATTGTCAAATTTTTTGTGCTATTAGACGACGATAATCTATCATTGTCATGCTTCATATGAAAAGACAACGAGAATTTTTTGTTCGGTTTTCATTGCGGTAATTACCGGTTTTTATTTTTTCTGCGTGAAATGAGTAAAATTTCATATTTCGTATTAAACAGGTAACACCGGTGACGAATGATTCAAAAATACGGAAAATCAGTATTATGCGACTTGAAAGTCGAAGGTGACTTATGTCGCATTCGACGATACTATGTCAGGCGAGTGATTCAAAAATAGGGCTCCTGCAAGCGTGCACCGTCATACACAGCGATCACAATCATCTCGAACTCAAAAGTTATCTCATTCTTCTGTTATCGCAAAAAAAGTATCGCATAACTCAAAACAGCTAGGGAATAGCAGATACTAGCAAACCAGTGAACCAAATGTTCACCAAAACCTGATTTCTCGAAAACCGGAAGTGCTACATTACTCAAATCCGGTTTGTAATCTTATCAGACTATTCTTAACTTATAACTTAAATATTCTCTTTATCTATCTCTTACGGTTTGGCCGCTGAAACAGCACCACAGACAGACGGACATGTCTAATAGATAAGAGATGCCACTTAAATTGGAACGCCCGCCTGGGGAAATAACCTCTTACCTAACCTAACCTTATTCGTTGCGGTTTTGTAAATTTGACATTAGTATTACTAATAAGCAGTCGTTATTCGAATAATTGACGACCTCCGTGACCGAGTGGTTTGTACGCCGGGTTTCATGGCGTCGCCGACTCGAGAGGACCCGGGTTCGAATCCCGGTGAGGGCAGATGTTTGTGTGACGAACACGAGCATTTGTACTCCAGTCATGGATGTTTAATATGTATTTCTATATAAATATACTTATATATGTAAAGTATATGTATTCTATCCGTTACCCTAATATCCCATAACACAAGCCTTATAGTGCTTACTTCGGGGCTAGGCTAATTGGTGTGAGTGTTGGAAATATAAAAAAAAAAAATGTGCGTGTGTGCCTTATTTTTTTCGAAAAATGATCTACATACAACTTTCTAGAAATATATATATAGGCGTGCGCTAAGATTTTTCAAAAACTCACCCACTAAAGGGGTATAACTACACCTTACCTTACCTTACCTTACCTTGTGTGAAACACGAATATTTGTTCGGATGAGGTAAATAGTGCTCTTTTAAAAAAAAGATGGCGCGTAACCAAAAAACGTGACGCGTAACCGAAAAATATGTGACGGTAAATTTTTTTCCAACGCCGATAAAGAAGTTTCACTTCAAAAAATATAAAAAGAATGACATTAGTATACTACTAATTTGGCTTTCGAATATCCAAATTAGTAGTTACGAATCAGTCGAAGGATGAAATCATTCGTATTCCCGCATCGCTACTTACCATCAGACGGGCCATACATACAACTAACTAACCAATCTTATAAAATAACATCGAATCATTTTGTCGGTCGTTCAGGACACACAAACTCCGCTGAGTTGGTGCGAGCGAGCACGATTAATAATAAATAAAATAAATATTTCCAACACTCACACCAATTAGCCTAGCCCCATACTAAGCACTATAAGGCTTGTGTTATGGGATACTAGGGTAACGGATAGAATACATATACTGTACATATATAAGTATCTTTATATATATAATTCTTCTGTGAGTGTGTATGTCACTGAACTTCTCTTAAACGACTGGACCGATTTTGATTGATTTTGTCCGCTGGACAATGTTTTTTTAATTAAATTTTTTTATGGCGGTACGAAGTTCGCTGGGTCAGCTAGTATTTATATAGAAGTACATTTTAAACATCCATGACTGGAGTACAAATGCTCGTATTCATCACACAAACATCTGCCCCCACCGGGATTCGAACCCGGGACCTCTCGAGTCGGCGACACCATGAAACCCGGCGTTCAAACCACTCGGCCACGGAGGTCGTCATTAGCTCGCGATATAGCAATACCTGCACGCGTGCGCTGTCATACAGCGCGATCACAATTCGCACAACTTATTCATTGCCTCATTGTTATTGCATAGAAAACAGTGAAAACGTAATTTAATATCAAATTTAAAAGTTATCTGACTTCTTTACTTACATTTCATTATCATCCTAAAAGATAGACAGAAAGAAACCAAATCATTTTAGTTATTTAGGATATCAGTGTTACAATTTAGTGTTTTGTACTTTTGTGCATTTTTTTCTAGTAAACTTTTCTTTAGATTTAAACATCTAGCAGTTAAATGCTTAAAAATAAATAAAAACATAACTATAATTGCTATTTCTTCTTTCAAATGTTTAATATTTGAAAAAGTATTCATTTGACATTGCGGGTTACCTACAATGCGAAGAGATGGCGCTGCCTTGCAGCTTAAGGCTAGGAAAATTTCGACGCGGCCAATAGGGCCGTGGTAGCATAATGGTCAGTGCATTCGCCCGGATTGCGAAGGGTGCTGGTTCGAGTCCCGTCCGCTGTCTGGTCCGCGTGGATTTTTATCTAGTAAACTTTTCTTTAGATTATATATCAAATGAGAATCATTTTGTCGTTCGTTCAGGACACACAAACTCCGCTGAGTTGGTGCGAGCGCGCCCGATTAGCTCGCGATATAGCCGCGGGCGTTCGCTACCTGCACGCGTGCGCCGTCATTCACCGCGATCTCAATTCGCACAACGTTCTCGTTCGCGCCGATCTGTCGCTCGTGCTCGCCGACTTTGGACTCGCTCGCATCGTTCAGAGACCCGCTGCGGGTACACTGAGGGCCAGGAAGCGGTATACGGTGAGTTTTTGCTATAATAATTTGACAGGTGGAAATGATAATCTCCGAACTATATTTAGTGAACCACTACTGCTTTGTCGTAACGATAATGAGATACTTGTTCTGAAAAGCATCGATGGATATGCAATTTTCTCTTTAGTTCATCATCATCATTAGCTTGTTAATGTCCCCATTGCTGGGGCACATGCCTTCCCTATGAATGGAATACATTGGGTCATGACCCACCACGCGAACCCAATGCGGATTGGTGGGTGCTAACTACTGCAGATGCAGCCGGGACAATGATTTTTTATCAAAGTTATTAATTATTTGTTCTCTCAGAATGGTTAAATAGCTGCTAACATTCATAATTAATACAAATATCAACAATTATCACTTTAATTTTAATACTTTCATATAACCTATTGTATGTACAAATATCAATACAATTGTATCTCCGCATCAGGTGGTTGGCAACCCATACTGGATGGCGCCAGAGATGATGAACGGCAACTTATACGACGAGAAAGTGGACGTGTTCTCCTTCGGGATCATCCTGTGCGAGGTTGGTATGCTGTTAACTTTCCCGATAGATAGATAGATAGATAAAACTTTATTCGCACCAACATGCACACATACAAAATTGAAGACAAATTTTACAATTATATAAATCCTTTAAAACTATATTTATTCAACTATACTATGATACTTTCGTGTGCAGCAGCGATGCGAATGGGCGAAAACACAGTGTAACATTTACTCAGAGAGTAAATCGCTGATTTTCAGTTCTGACCCATATAGATGAGGTCACGCAATTAAATGTCAGATTAAAATTCACAATACAATAAACGATAGTATAAATATATAGGAAGAAAAGAAAGAAAAACATTTTATCGGCCTTCACAGCATGAATATCGAAAACAAAATGGTTATAATCTATACATATAATAAAATGGTAGGAAAGTCAAAACTGTACATTGAATATTTTTTAAAGCATGCTTGGGGCAGATATATGGATTATTATTATTAATCTACAATCGATACCGAAGCCAAAAAATATAGATTTTTTGTCTGTATGTCTGTAAACATATAAATATAAAAAGTACTGCATGAATTTACTTTAAATTTTGGTAGGAATATTATTAAGAAGTCGGGTCAACATATAGGCTACATATTATCACGCTCATCATCATCATCACCTACGCGGAACGAGCAGTGAACCTTTATTTCTAACTAACTCCACGCGTACGGAGTCGCGGGCGGCCGCTAGTAATAAAATATTGCATGAGAAAAAACATGGGAACTAATTACTAGGTGCGTGCCGTGTAAGGCCAATCGGCTGCTGCCTCAGCTATGCTCTGTGGTAAACGCTTTCGCGATACCACAATATGATGATTATATGACGTGACGTTTGAAATTGACTACAGTTCCTAAAGATCTTATTTTTTAATAGTCCAAGTTTACTATAACTATGAAATGAAATTATATTTGATTCAATGTATGAATTGTCTAATACTTTATCCTATCACATAGTCAGGAGATCTTTTGGCTGATGAGAAAAATGGGCGCAAGAAAATCATCAGTATTTAACAAAAGTAGCAACGTTTATATAAAATCATGTCGCTGCCAATACAACGTCCACTCACATTTTGATCGACGTGTCGTGCCAATGATGTGACCTTTAAAATTTACTGCAGTTCCTAAAGATCTTTTATTAAGGAACGATTTTCGAATGAAGATGCATGTATGGATATATGGAATATAGTCATATCACTACAAAAATACTGTTCATAAAGATAATTTCTTGGAAAACTTATAGCAAAAATATATTAATCCAGCCGAGGTCTTAGCCGTCTCCAAAGTGCAAGACAGGTCTAAACGACGTGTTATCAGAAAGTAAATATGATTAAAGTGCACTTCACCAACGTTTATACATTAGCGTCAGCGGTAATATGCAATGTCTCTGTGAGTACGCTATTTTCGTTAACACTTGGCTTTTTTCTATTTCTCAGAGTATTTTTTCAACTTTACCCATTTTAATGCTTTTGTGTTGTATACCCGATTTGATAAAGTTAGAAACTTGTTAATGTTTTGTTACGCGTTGTTGGAACGTCAGTGTCATGCATGACAACTGTCAACACTACTATGACAGCTGCACGTCAAACTAATAACACTGGCTGCGTTCCGAACCTCCGCTCCGGTGTGGCTGTATGGTGGTATAAATGTCAAACTTGACATTTATATGTGTATCAAAAATAGAAATTACAGCGTAATAAGTTGCTCTCGGGGTGTGGTTTTGGAGCGCATCCCTGTATTAATGTATTTTTGCCGTTTTCGTTTTACTACTTTACTTTCTGGATGTCTTGTGTTTGTTGGCCTACGTTTCTCTACACCTTGTATTCATATCAATGTATAAGTTATCGCATTCGTGTTGTTCTTCGGTTTACATTTAACGCTTGGTTATTTTTTCATTTATTTTGATTAATGTGCAATTTGTATTTGTTTCTTTTATTTTTATTTTGTTAAGTATGTGTTTTGTGCAATATGTTTCTTATTATTATTTTTTGCTTTCTTGCTGGTGGGTTGTGATGGTAACAAGTGCAGAGGTATTTTAGTAAGTTTATATTTATATTATTAATTTGACTATAGGTATATATTTGCTTCATATTTTTACAGTCGTATGCCTGCTACTGGCACTGGTAGTGATAATAGCAATGATTTTCTGTCTCTCTCTTTCTCCTCTGGTGGGTTGAGCAGTAATGATAGTTTCTGCAGTTTACCTTCCTTAAAAGATAATCTCCAGTCTGCTATGTCAGACGTCTCCAAAAATTTCAATGTTGTACATATCAACGCTCAGAGTATTGCAGCTCACTATCCTGACTTCCTTGCTACCTTTTCTGACATGAACATCCATGCTGTACTTGTTTCAGAATCTTTTCTTCATCCTTGTCTTCCATCTACTTCTTACTCTCTCCCTGGATTTCAGCTTATTCGCAATGATCGTACTAATACATCTCATGGCGGAGTGGCTATTTATCTGCGAAATCATATTTCATTTTCTGTGATAAGTCGATCAATGCAGCCCCCCCCAGCCGATACTGCAGAACACCTTTTCCTTGAAGTTACTCTATCTCACTCTAAAATTCTACTGGGAGTTTACTACAGCCCTTCTCTTAGAGTCAATTTCTTTTCTTCTTTCGAGAAACTACTAGAAGATTTGACCCCGTCCTACAGCCATTCTATTATAATGGGTGACTTTAATACATGTCTTTTAAAAGGTGATCTACGATCCAATACCTTAAAGTCACTCGTTAATGCTTGTAACATGAATATTCTCCCCCTTAATGCCACTCATTATTTTCCTAATTGTTCTCCTTCTCTTCTTGACCTGATTATTGTTTCTTCTACCGAGCATGTTGCCAAACATGGTCAATTTACGGCCGATGCATTCTCTTACCACGACCTCATATATCTTTCCTATAAAATACGTCCCCCTAAGGCTAAGCCCAAAATTCTTCTGCAGCGTAATTTTGGTGGTATGGATCTGGACAAGCTGCGTGATGATGCTGGAGCGGTTGATTGGTCAGCGGTAAACAATGGTGCTACTGTTGATGAACAAATAAATTTATTTAACAACCTTTTGATCAAACTCTACGATGTTCATGCACCTATTAGGCCTATTAAGATCAAACATTTGCCCGCACCCTGGCTGACTGATGACATTAAATCTTTAATGGCGAAAAAAAATAATGCTAAGGCTAAGTACAAGTGCAACCCCACAGATAGTAACCGTGACAAGTATCATCGAATCAGGAATCGCTGCAATACAGTGTGCAGAGACGCACAACGCCGCCACATCCATAAATCCGTGGAAAGCGGTGATCCCGCTAAAGTCTGGAAATTCTTAAGGTCTCTGGGAGTTGGCAAACCCCGAAATCAAAATTTAGCTCAAAATTTAGACATCAACCGCTTAAATAGTCATTTCTCTGTATCGTCTGCTCTTGACGCTCATGTCAAAGAGAAAACTATAAGGTATCTTTCTTCTCTGCCAACACCAGATTTTGCTCCGTTTACTTTTAGTCAATTTTCCGATAGTGATGTTGAGAAGAACATCCGTGCCATTGATTCTAAAGCGGTGGGTAATGACAATATTGGCCGTAACATGATTATCCCCTTACTCGACATCCTAACTCCAGTTATTACCAATATCTTCAACAAATCCATTTCCTCTGGAAGTTTTCCAGGAATTTGGAAAGATGCTCAAGTTATTCCACTTCCCAAAAAATCAAATCCTGATACTATGTCCGATTTCCGTCCTATTTCCATCCTTCCTTTCCTTTCCAAAGTTCTTGAGCGTCTAATACACAATCAACTGAATGAATTCCTTCGAATGAATAACTTGCTAAATCCATTACAATCTGGTTTTCGTCCTGGCCATAGCACAGCTAGTGCACTTGTCAAAATTACCGATGACATTCGCTTTGGCATGGAGAGTCAGAAACTCACAACTTTAACTTTATTGGATTTTTGTAACGCCTTTAACAATGTTGACTTTGAAATCCTGTTGAGTTTACTGCGTTCTCTTAACATATCTCCTACGGTCATTGACTGGTTTCGTAGTTATCTACATGGACGCCGGCAGCGTGTAATTGTGGGTGAATCCTTCTCTCAATGGTGTACTCTAACGGCCGGTGTTCCTCAAGGTGGCGTGCTATCTCCTTTGCTTTTCGCTATTTTTATTAACTCAATTACCCTCAAGTTAACTTCTACCTGCCATCTGTATGCAGACGATCTTCAGATTTACACACAGGATCGACTGGAAAACTTAAATAATGCAATTAATAACCTAAATGCAGACTTAGCACTTATAACGGAATGGAGCAATGCATTTGGGCTCAAAATCAATCCAACAAAAACGCAGTGCATAACTATTGGTAGCCCTTACTTTATATCTCGGATTGACTTTAAGCAGCTCCCATCAGTTACTTTAAATGGAACTGTTATCCCATTTTCTGAAACAGTTCGGAATTTGGGGGTCATATTTGATAACACTCTATCTTGGTGTCCTCAGGTTGCTGAGGTCAGTAGGCGAACTTTTGCTGCGGCTGGATCTTTACGACGTTTACGCAATTTCTTGCCCACTGCCACCAAAATTTCTCTTGCAACTTCTCTTCTTCTACCTATTCTCGATTATGCAGATGTTTGTTATCCCTATCTTACCTATGATCTTCTAAGTAAACTTGAACGTCTGCAAAATTTTTCCATCAGATTCATTTACGGTCTACGTAAGTACGACCATGTTTCTTATTACAGGCAGAAATTGAAATGGCTTCCCATTCGTCGTCGCCGTGATCTGCATATATTATCCCTACTCTTCTCAATACTGTTCAATCCAAAAGCTCCTGTCTATCTCAAAGAACGTTTTCAGTTTCTTTCTTCTTCTCATAATCTTCCGCTTCGCTCATCTGACAATCTCCTGCTTTTCACACCTCCTAACTTTTCCAAGGCGTATAGCCACTCCTTTACCATACGTGCTATCCAACTATGGAATTCTCTGCCGGAAAA